TCCCTCAACCAAACAGCCCCTTATGTTTTACTTTGAACATCTGTATAATAAAGTGCTGGTGGCAGAACTCTAGAAAAGATAAAGGGGAAGATTCCTCATATTATAGAACGTCACATTTCTTCTGGTATATTATTTTAATTCCTTTTGAAGCTTTTAATTTTTACTTTCCGTGTAGACAGCTTGCAATGTTAATATGAGAATATCATTTCTGCCTTTTAAGGTAGAAAAACGCTCTCTGCCGCATATTAATGAAAAGAGAGAGAAAGTATCATGGGGTCCACTATTCTTGCTCTCTTAGTGATTTCCCTATTAATATTCTCCTTTCTTTCCACTTTTTAGTTTATAGATTTGTGCCAAGCTATTAGAGAGATATAAAATTACTTTTATTAATAGAATGGGAGCGAAGAGGATCAAACTCATGACCACTTGATCACTCCAGCTCTGATATTATGTAAGAAACCAATTCAACCCAAAAGCTTAAGGGGGTGTATTGGATTGGGATTTTAAAAGACTTTTTTGAGATAAAAAATCCTACAGATTTTAAAAGACATTTTAGAATTGGAGAGACTTTATAGACTTTTTTAAAAGAATTTTTTTTCAATCAAGATTTCATAGGATTGAATTTTAAAGGATTTTAATAGAATTCATAAGATTTGAAAGGACTATCTGGGTTTATAAGATTTTAAAAAACTATATGAATTTTTAGCTAATATTCAAAATTACAAGAGTCAATAAAAACAAATAACAAAGAAATACAATGATATTAATAAAAAAAGTAAACTTAACAACGGGTTGAAAATTATCTCAAAATTACTAAGCAACAACTCTTCACATATCAATAAAATCTAATATAATTTTCTCAATGAGTTTGAGTTTGAGTTTGATTTGCGAAAATAATAACCATATATCAACGGTTAACTTCCAAGTTAAATATTAATTAACGAGTTTGATTTGTGAAACTAATAACCATTGATTGACGGAAATCAACGGTTAAAATATGGTTGTAAACAAAAATAGATTGTAAGTATAGTATTCCCCATAAAAAAATAACAAAGAAATGCAATGAAGTTAATAAAAAAAGTAAAACCTAATATAATTTTATCAATCAGTAAAACATAATATAATTTTCAAGAAACATTCAAAATTACTAAACAACAGCTTTTCACATATCTAATAGGTTGAGAATTATCTTCTTCATTTGGTATCAAAGTTATGCATATATGATTATAAGACCCAATTTTTTAATTATAAAAATAATTCTAAATTTGCATATAGAACCTAAAGTTCATGATAAAATTTCGTTTGAAATTTTTTGCAATTGATCTTGAAAACATTAGGGTTTTTGTTTTACGTGATGAGAGTTTTCTAACCATATATCATATGCATATTTTCATTGAATATTCTAAGAAAATTTTAAATCTGAAATTTTGGGTTTAATTACATGAAAGTTTAGAAAATTTCTCAAACTTTTTTCAGTCGATACATTGAAACCTTAAATTGCTTTGGGGCTTTTGAGAAACAAGTTTTTAGTTATCTATTGACACAAAAATTGTTTGAAATCGTTTCCTATAGTGAAGGAATTTCGTTCATGAATGTATTGTTACGAAATATAGGGTTCATATTATGAAAGTTTCAATCTTTCTTTAAATTGATATTGCTTCATTGATGTAAAACAAAAATTGGTTTGAGGGTTTTAGTTTCCCTGTTATTTTTTCACTGTTTTATGTTGTATTTAATACAAATATCACACGTTTTTGTGCCAAGAAAAACCACAACCCATAGCTTGAAAAATCACTTTTTAAACTTCCAAAATTTCTCAAAAATAGCTCAAAAATATGTTATTTTTGAGATAAATTATATTAAAATCTCGTTGGTTTGTTGTTTCTGGGTTGTTTTGTGATGAAAATCGCTCAAAAATATGCCTTTTTTTTAGTTTTGACAAAGCTCCCATGACGGAACCCAATTTCGAGCACTCAACCTGCCAAAGGAAGAAGAAAACACTGCAACAGAAGAATCTCAAGAAATCCTAGGGGTTGGGGTGAGATTGTGAGAGAGACATCCTATTTATATTTTTCACTAAAAAGTCTCACGAAATCCACACCAATAGAAAATTCATTAAAATCGTCGGATTTTTGAATACCACGAGATTGTGATTCCATTGTTTAAAATCCTGATTGAATACCAACGGATTTGGACGGATTTTAAAATAATCCTTTAAAATCTTAATCGAATACCACATGACTTTTTTCAATCCATTAAAATCCTAATCGAATACCAACGAATTTTTTTGTCAAAAAACAATCCATTAAAATCCTTTGAAATCCCAATCCAATACACCCCCCTAAGTCAGTGGGTGAAGTTACATTAATGATTTTTATATATCTCTAACACGCTTCCTCATATGAGAGTTCACTGGACTTGAAGGGAGGATAATGCACAAGTCCACCACCTACATGCGCTAAAAAACTTCACAAGACTTAATTAATTATTAATTAAATAGGGAACGGTGAAAATCGAACTCATGATATCGAGACTCGGATACCGTATAAAGAACCAGTTTAACCCAAAAGTTTAAGCTTAAATTTTTGGGTTGAATTGATTCTTTACATGATATCAGGCTGAAGTGACCAAATGGTCACGAGTTCGATTCTCACTGCCTCCTACTTTGTAATGAAGTTAAGTAAGTACAAGGTAAACAAAAAAAATGGACCGGTGCAGCATAAGGTAGACCAAAAAATGAACTTGTGCAATATCCTCGTTTCAAGCCCAAATGGCTCTTGCGTGAAGTGTGTTAGAGAGATATAAAATCATTAATGTAGCCTCACTCATAGCCTTAACGTTTTTTGGTTAAGTTGGTTTCTTTACATGGTATCATAGCCTCGATATCATGGGTTTGATCCTCACCGCCTCCATTTAATTAATAAATAATTAAGTATTGTGGAGTTTGTTAGCTTAAGTAGGTGGGCTTGTGCATTGTCCACCTTTCGAGCCCAATGAGCTATCGTGTAAGAAGGCGTATTAAAGAATAATATAAATCATTAAAAAGACCATGAGAAGCATTGTTCACAAATCACAAGTTGAAGAGATGCAGTATTTGAAGAGCTTCACATTTTCAAGCTATTGCATGCAATGCATATGATATTCACTAAGTAGAGGATGCTGAACGATGGTATTAATCAACTTGAAAAAATCAAGATATTAAAATCTCTTGTTTAATTTCATATTTTGTTATAGGGAAAAAATGTGTCATTTTAAAGGATGTAAAATTGTGTTATTTTAAGAGAGAGAAAAAGATAGATAAAGGAGGAGAGAGAATTGACAAAAAAAATATAAAGATATGGGTCCCACCTTTTTGTAAGAGTAAAATGATATAAATTATGTCATTTAAAATAATAAACATTTTTAATATGTCGTATAATGGCATATTGAGGAAAATTAAGTGCAAAAATCTAGAACATCTAGCTATGTTATTTTGGAGAATTTATTTCCTGCAAAAGGACATATTCAACCTCTGCATAGTACTCTAGTGAGTAGTGAGAAGGAAATGACAATTTTACATTGCTTAGATGCAAGATCAAGATGTTACGTCTGTTCTATTTTTTATTTTTCTCTCTCTAAGACCTATATACATTTGATTGGACAGTGTCAAGGGCGATATTTGCTTGTAATAACCGCTCCTCTCGCTATTTTGGTAGTACTTGATTTGATTTTACTGGTCTTGACTAGATGTTTATGACATTCATTCACAATAGTGCTTTTTCTTTTTTGTTGCTTTTCATTGCTCCAGTTTTTTTTATTTTATTGTCGTAGCTTTTAATCTTATGTTAGGTTATTAGATGTAATTTCAGAAGTTTGGTCTGCAGAAAGGTTCAGTTTTGCGACATAAAAGTTGGTGATTCAGCCAATATTAGACAAAGGGATGGTTCACCACTCTATTTTAGTTGCTTCTCTGAATTAATCTATAGTTTCTCTGTCAGTCAAGGTTACTTCTGATCCTATTTCTCCTGTTTTATGGAGTTTGGACTTTAAAAAGCTGCTGTATAAATCACATTCTTCGTTTCCTTGCCATCAGGATCAGTCAGTAGTAAGCTCTTAGGCAGAAACTTTGAAGGTAGCCCTTAGTGACAAGGAATTCAAGGAAGACATCAAAGTGACAGTGGATGAACCTAATTCAATATAAATCTTTTCTTGATAATTCTTGCCTAGTTGACAGTGGGAAAAAAAGATCCATCTGTTAGAATGCAGGTGCTATTGATCAAGATTAGACTTGCAGAGGTGGGTTGCTATAGCTTTCCTTCTAATAATTTAATTAAATTTCCATTTTTCACTTGTGTTTTACATGCATGTTTGCCTCTTTCCTTTCCTCAAATATTTTATTACTGGTTAAATTGCTTTTTCTTAATAAAATGTTTTTGTTTACATTTCTTTTTACTGTGTTTCTGTGCTGCAGCCTTTAATTGATAATAGAATTCTCAGAATCAAGACAAAACCATAATTCAGGTATGGTGGATGTGGATAGAGAAGGGAACTATATCTCAAAGGGGCAGGGTTGGCACGCAGTGATCACTACCTGATACATGTCTCGGTCATGCTGTGGAGGCCATAGTCAGTTTCTTTTCTGGATTTGAAGAAATTGAGTTAAAAGGTACAAACTAAACTTTGTAGTGAGAAAGTTGCTGTTGTTGTAATTAAGACAATCAAAAGATTAGGAACGATATGCAAGATCATTGACTTTAATTAAGTACTATTGTATATATGCATGCTTTAGATTGCAGGACTGTTGCTATTGTACGATATATATGTATTGGTACTTGCCTGCTTCATTTTATTTTTCAGGCTAAGTTGACCCCTAAATTTTAAAATTGTCAATTGACTCTGACGCTTGGAGGTTCTAAGCAGCTGCATAGCTCGTGAAAATTCATAAAGAAATGCAATTAGTCTTTTATAGAAGCAAGAATATTTCAATCACATTGCGTTGATTGAATGTAAAAATGTTTAAGCTAACATTGTGATGGGACATAAACAAATTTTCTTGTGAGCATACTCCTTTGTGATTTGACCTCAAAAACCGGGGAAGCGTACTTAGCTCCTCCCTTGTCATTGTGAACTACATTTACTGTCTGCAAGTACCAATATGTCTCAGTATTCTTGTAAACAGGACCCCTTGGATGAGGGTAGCCTTGGTACAAGTAGTTTTTTGGATTGAAAACAGGAATTTCTTTCTCAACTCTATGCTTGAACCTGTTTCCATGTAGATAGTTAGATGGAATGTAGAGGGGAGATTCTTTCCTTGACATTGAATTTGCCTGTAGACACTTCTCTATCACCATAGCCTCCTCCTTCAATCTTTCTCTTATGTCCCTAATATTTCTCCAAACTTTACAAGATCTTGACCTGCTGATAATATTCCATGCCTTGAAAATTGAACCATTGGAATTGCTAGGGACATTGCTGGATGTATACGGGATTCTATTGCACTCAAAGCAGAAGTTCTTATATCTCTCTAAGTTAAAAGCTTTTCTTTTTGCAGCATCAGACAGACAAATATATGCCTACACACAAAAAAAAATAAAAAATGGAGGTAAAAATTGTGATTTTATTCAATTTTTCTTAGAACTTGGTTCTCATTGTTAAAGTATCCCCAAGCTAACCATTAAAGGAAAAAAATATATATGTCACAAACTAACCTCAGAGACAAGCTTGAATGCAATTTCAGCCTTGGGATGTTTATTCTTGTCTGGATGAAGTTGCAAGGCTACAGCAGGAAAAAAAAGTCCTTGTTATTCAAGAGAAAGAGAGAATGCAGATTGCACATAACCATAAAATGAGTTAAACCTACCAAGTTTATGGTATTGCTTGCGAATGGTATTAACCTCTGCATTTCCTTCCACCTATGAGAACCCAATATGGAGATATTTGCATCATATATGAGAACACAGAAACTTGTTGCTAAGTTTGCATCAACAAGAAATTAAAGGGTTAAATACTTACTCCAAGAATGCAATACCAATCGATGAAAGTTGACTTAGCTGGATTTGAGACAAGTCTATGAACACATACAACTGAACGGGTGGAAATGGAGCAAATCTTCAATACCAACTGAGTTTTGTAATCTGACTCTTGTCCCATTCTCCCCATTAGAAGTGATAAGATAGAACTTCCAAACACAAAAAGGGGTTACAAATAGTGAAAGGTGATGTTTGTTCTTTTTGTTGTTGGTTCAGAGAAGGTAGTAATAACTAATAAAAGAGGTGGAGCGGTTTAGAATAAATAGCAAGCATTGCGGAGTAGATTTTTGAAAGTGGATCAGTTGGTGGGAACAAACAAGTAGATAGAGAAGGAGAGGTTTACGTTAATCTCTCCATATGGCATCACTTGAGAAGGACAAGGGCCATTTGGCCGTAACATTTTTTTTTCCTTGTTAAATCCATTGAGGTTTAAATTTAAAATGGATTTTTCTTGTTGCCATTCTCTTTGGCCTCCTCTTAGCAACCAATATTTGTTGCTAGTTGCAACAAATAAAACACCCTCCAGCTGGAAGTAGCACCTCTTAGCAAACTGATAGTATCAAAGTTTAGTTTAAATTTTTTACAAAGCCATTTATGAATTTTTCGAGGAACTTATATATAATATGAGAATACTACAATTAGATTACTAAAAATATAACACATGCCACAACATAATTGGACATTTTAAGTTTAGATCAGATTTCCATGGTTAAAATATTACTCGGAGAGTATTTTCTCGAATCTCAATTCTTGGAAGTCTAATAATATGACTTGAATTTTCAAAGATTCTTTTTTAAGTTCTAGTTTTATAGTTTATGAGAAATGTACATTTTTACCGTTATTGTAAATAAGTTATTTATATTTATTCTCAAAATGATATTATTTTGAAATTAAAAAATTAAAAAATTAAATTATAAAGATTATAATAACCCTGAAATAAATTAAAATTATAAAAATACTATGATTTTCGTCCCAAAATAATATCGTAATAAGTTTACTGCAGATAACTTATCTGAAGTGATACCAATAATTTATTGTACAAGGGTATTGTGAATTATTAGAAACCCACGTAGCAATGAGGAAAAGGGAACCCCTTCATTTTGGGATACAGGAAATGACGAAACCCCTTTTAATTGAAGGCCCGTGCCACTTACTGATGCGGATGAAATATGACATTTACAGCTAGAGAAACACTAGTTGGTAAACTTTTGAGTATTTTGGACACTTTCCTATTGTGTTAGGTAGATACCAATCAATAAATAACCCTTGAACATGGAAGCGTTCAAGCAGGATGACCCATGCATATAATTACCGGTTGAATCTTAGGCATGAAAAAGGTACCCTAGGATAGGTGTAAGAAAAAAAAAAATGGTCTAATAGGTCACCGTCTTGCATCCTTTTATTCAAGAGTACACATCAATACTTTTCCATCTTCTTCTTCTTGGAATTCATTATCATGTGTCAGTTGTTGGGTCTTAGGTAAAATGTAACAACTTGCATTACAATGGTTATTTTGTCCTGGTTCCAGATGATTTTGGTACTGGATTCTCAAATAGCTCCAAACCCTTTCTAATTTCCCAAGTTTAGACAAATGGGCTTTCACGATCACCCAATTTTTTTGTTGGAGCGAAGCACTATTTCAAGACGGATTAAGATCCTCGAGGGAACAGTTTTTTATCCAAAGGGTGAAATTTATTGAATTACATTACTCATTAAAATTTGGCATCATAACATATCTTTTATTCCAGCTAGCTAGCAGATTTTGGAAAACTGCAAAGGATTCGTTTCCATTCTAAGACAAAGGTTTGTATCATTCAACTGTTCAAGCAGTTTATTTTAAGGAAAATGATACCCTTACACCATTTCTAATCTAACACCACTTTTATACCGATAAATAGCGAGTACATTATTGATAAATGGTGTATATATATTATAAGGTAAATGTGGATATCAATTCATTACCAATATTCAATCATTTGAAAAATAAATAAATAATGTGAGCATCACTTTTTTTATAAATATTCTGTTCGTATGAAGTTGGCCAGTTGGGCAAATTTGAATCAAAGAATTACTACACGTTATTTTAGAATGCATTGGTATGTGAAGCTTTGTTTTGGATTTAACAGCCAGCAACAGCATCCAAGGTAGGCTTTGTTTTGCATGGGACAAATTCCAGGTAGGGTAAGAGAAGGGTACAAATTAGGGGGGTGTAACATCCCGCATGACTAGGGACTTATTTAAAGTGCAATTAGGAGTATGGACTGGAATTCGACTTTCCATATATTATTAGGATAGGATTAATTTCAATTATAATTTACAAAGGTTATAGTTGCTATACCTTAGTCAAGTAAGAACACATGGCAACATCTAATCACCTTAATCCCCATCACATGTGCGCTTAGACTAGGAGGAAAATTCTGATTACAAGCCTTAGCATCCAAGACTACTTCAGCCGATGCATGTCCTTGAGGTGTCAAACTAAACCTCTCCATGCCATTGCATGTGCGACACCTAGCCCCTTTTCCTTGCATGTCCGCCACTTATACACTCATTGGACACTTGGTTTCCATTTTGCATGTTTCAGCCAAGCCCTTTTCATGACCAAGGATTCCATCCTCGTAGTTTTACAAACTGATCCCTCTTTAGTTCCATAGCCGTAAGCTTCGTGACAGAAATAAGATCACCTAGACTTGCATAATACACTTCTCCCATCCACTCCTCAACGCCGTGAGCTCCCAAAGAGAAAGGTCCATCTTCCAACCTTCCATCCTTTCTCCTTCTCTGCTCGGCCGAAGACACCAGCTAGGAGAATCAATCATAAGTTCACAGCCATCCTTCTTCTCTTTCTTCAGCCGAAGACAACCGTCATCAAGGAGGTGGGGTACTTTTTATCTCCTTGTTCTTCATTTCATGAACCGGTTCTGATGGGGATTTCTTCCCTGCATGCAGCTGGAAATCGGTTCTTGGAGAGTAGATAAATTCCCTCGCATGTGGCTGAATGCGTGAGCCTTGGAGGGAAGAAGAGTGAGAACCTTAGCATCTACCTTGGGGACTACCTTCTTGACCGATTTGTGGACCTTGATCACATTCAAGAAGGTAATCCGAGTCTCAAGCCCTTCCTTTCCTTTTCTCTGTTTCGGTTTCCAAGCATGTCTTAGGAAGTTAGTTTATTCTTCAATTTCCATTCCTTGCTTCTGCCCTTGTTTCTGCTCACTTGGACTTAGTGCTTGGAAACTCAAAAACCCAAATGGTGAGCTTGGAAAATAGCTCTATCGTAAAATTATTGGACTGTTTTGTGGGACTATATTGTATGTCTAGTTTTGCATGTGGTAAATTCAATTGGATAGCATGTTAAAGACCCCTTAGCGCACCAATGGCCTAGTAGAGTTGGTTATGTAGATGAATATATATCATGAGCACCTTTTAATGCTAAGAAACAGAATCTGTCTGTGATGGAGATTTTGGATTTCTTCGCTGTTAATGAGTTATTAAATTAATAAGAAGTCAGAAATCAGTTTAGTGTAAGAACCATGGAAACCGACTGGAAACCAATGGTTAAGAGGAATGAAAAAGCTATGTATGTTTAGGAAAAATATGTAATAGACTCTGACTTGATATATAATATATATTTGATTAGGTGTGCAAGATCCTAGCTTATTGGACTGTTTGAGGACATTTGCTTAAAAGGTTATAAGCACCGAGGTATGTGTTTGGTGGATTAGCCTTTTGTGACTCTTAACTTAGTTCTTGGAATTTTTTATATGTTGCCTATGTGCCTCATTCAAATTCTGTTTGGAAATATTCGTACTCTGAATTGAAATATGACTTGTTGAAACTCCGATTTTTGTGGAGATATATTCTGCTTAGAAGTTGGTGTCATAGACATGTGAGCTACGATTTCTGATTCTGAATTCTGATTATCAGCATGAACATCATAACTTTGCATTTGGTCATGTGTGTGTGAAGCAAAGCATAGCATCTCATGCATCCATATACATGCAGTCTTGACAACCGAAATAATTGATAAAAATGGGCATTTGGTTGAGCATGCAACATATAGGCATCCCTCAGGTACCAGGGTATGGGACACTTGGCTTCAGTCCGCATAAGTCGCAGTTGGAATTCCCCTTGATGGAGCCAAAATGGAATCTCTACTGTGTTAGTTAGTATGTGCACATTAGTGCTATGAACCTACATTTTCTGGCGATATATACGCATTCTGTGCATTCTGAACTTGTCGAATTTTAAGTGTACAGTGTGTGCACTGTCTTGTGTGGTTAAGTGCTGAATATTCGTATCTAATGTGTTATGAAGATTGTTAATTTTGAGTCTGGACTCTGAACTTTAGGTGATGCATTGATGAATTATGAAATTATGTCTTCCCATGGAATCCCTGTAACCGTGTATATTGTTACTGTCATTCAGAAATTCAGTTTGAGTCAGTTATGTTTTTTTCGGTGTAAAGTGTGATTTAATTGGCTAGAAATAGGTAAGATGATGATGATTAATTGCAATAATTAAGATTCTGTAGGGTGGGATTTCGTTATACATAATATGAGTTCAGTTGACTTTTAGTATGAAGATTTTATAATGAATCAAGCAAGCACTCAAATTTCGGATTTTTACGCTGACTTTTCATGCATCTTGCGAGTTCAGTTTCCGGGGCTACAGTCCTCCGAATGAGGTATAATTTATATGTACGTAAAACCCCAGTCGTCTATTTTCAAATTATATAAAGATTATGTCCAAAGCTTGTAAGCCTGATTTATCATTATTTTTGTAAGTCAGGAGGTTTTTGGAAAAATACATTGATTTATCGAGTACCTTGCGAGTTCTGTTTCTGGGGCTACAGACCTCCGATTGTCATATAATTTATATGACCGTAAAGCCCCAGATATCTAGTTTCTTCGTAGAAAAGAAAATTTTTGTAAGCTTGTGATTTCTAATTTACATGATTTTTGCAAGACAGACTGTTTTCAAGAAAATTACTATTTGCGCAGCGAAAGCCTTTTAAAAATTAACTAGCTGTTTGAATTTATGAAGTTTGTTTTCCAGACAAGATTTTTAATTGTGACAACAAAATGTTTTTACGAAATAAGAACTTTATATGATAACGTTGCGACTCTAATC